GAATGAAAATGAAAACATGACACACTAAAATTCATGGGATATATCTAAACAGTGTTTAGAAGAAAGTTTGTAAATGATAATGCCTATATTAAAAAAGAAGAGAAATCTCAAATCAATAACCTAAACTTCCACCTTAAGAAAGTAGAAAACTACTTGTTTTGCACAGGAGCAAACTACAAGAGCAAACCACAACCAAAGCAAGAAAAGAGAAGGAAATAATAAAGACTAAAGAGGAAAGAAATAAAATCTTAAAAATAGAAAAGCAGTGGAGATTAAAATAAATAAACAAACAAATAAAAATAAAAGTTGGTTCTTTGAAATGATTGACAATACTGAGAAAGATATACTAACCTGACCAAAAAAAAGGAGAAAAGACTCAAATGATCAAAATCAGAACTGAAAGAAGTAACATCACTACAGAAAATAAAAAGATTGTAAGAAAATAGTATGAATAACTGTCAACAAATTTGGTAACTGACATAAAATGGACTGATTCTTAGAAAGACACAAACCACCACAACTGACAAGAAATCAGAACAGACCTATAATAGGAGATTGAATTAATACTTTAAAAACTTCCCACAAACAAATCCCAGACCCAGATGGCAGTGAATTTTACCTAACATTTAAACATTATCACTGTGAAGTCTATCAAACATTTAAAGATTTACTACTAACCATTCACAATTTTTTCAAAAATACAAGAAGGAACTTCCAAATTCATTCTATGAAGCCAACTATTACCTTAATATCAAAACCAGACAAAAATATTGTAAGAAAACTACAGGCCAATATTCCTTATTAATATAAATGCAAAAACTCTCCAAAAAACCACTAGCACACTGAAACTAGCAACATATAAGGATTGTATAATATTAGCAATTGCAAAATCCAAGGAATGCAAGGTTAATTCATCATACAAAAATCAATCAATGTAATATATCACATTAATAGAATAACGGGACAAAAAAAACACATTATCACCTTCATAGGCACAGAAAAATCAGTTCACAAACTCTAAAAAACACTAAAAACTTAGGAATAGAGGAAATTTCCACAACCAGATAAAGAACATTTAAGAGAAAAACCACAGCTAACATGATACTTAATCGTGAAAGACTGAAAGTTTTCCCACAAGATCAAAAATAAGATAAGGATGTCCATACTTGCAATTTACATTATTCCATTGTGCTAGAAGTTCTAGCTGGAGTAATTAGGCAAGAAAAAGAAGTAAAAGACATTCAAATTGTAATGGAAGAAGTAAAACTCTACTTGCAGATGGCATAATTTTATATATAGACAATCCCAAGGAACCTCATCAAAATTAAAAACTTTTGCACTTCAAAAAAATTGCTAGGAAAGGGGACACCTGGGTGGCTCAATGGTTGAGTGTCTGCCTTTGGCTCAGGTCATGATCCCAGAGTTCTGGGATCAAATCCCACATTGGGCTCCCGGGGGGGAGCCTGCTTCTCCCTCTGCCTCTCTCTCTGTCTCTCTCATGAATAAATAAATAAAATCTTTTTAAAAAATTGCTAGGAAAGTGAAAAGACAATCCACAGAATGGGAAGAAATTTTTACAAATCGTGTCTGATAAGGATTTAGTATCTAAAATATGAGTACTTACAACTCAAAAATTTTAAAAATGAACAACCCAATTTAAAAATGTGCAAAATATTTGAATAGACATTTCTATCAAAAAGATACACAAATGGCCAAAAAGCACATGAAAATATGCTCAACATAATTAGTAATTAAGGAAATACAAATCAAAACCACAATGAGATATCACTTGACACTCACTAGGATGGCTATAATAAAAAAGACAGACAATAAGAATTGGTGAGATATGCAGCATTTGGAACCCTCATACACTGCTGTGTGGGAAATTTAAATGGCTTAACCACTTTGGAAAAAAATTGTCACTCCTCAAAATATTATACAGAGAATTAACATATGATCCAGCAAGTATATAACTAGAGTAAGTACCCATGAGAAACAAAAACATATGTCTGCATTAACACTTGTACACTAATATTCATAGCAGCATTATTTATAATGGCCAAACAACAGAACCAACCCAAATGCTCATCAACTGATGAATGATAAATAAAAATGTGGTATTACTCATTCGATGGATATTATTCACACATAAGAAGGAATGAAGTTCTGATACATGTTACAAAATGGACTAACCTTGAAACATGTTAGGTAAAAGCAAAAGACCATATATTTTATGAGCCTATTAATATAAATAACCACAACAGACTAGCTGGCTCAGTCAGTGGAGCAAGCAACTCTTGATCTCAGGATCCTGTTGGGTATAGAGATTACTTAAAAATAAAATCTGTAAGTAAATAAGTAAATAAATAAATGTACCTGGATGGCTCAGTCGGTTAAGCATCCGATTCAGCTTCAGCTCACGTCATGATCTCAGGGTCATGAGATCAAGCCCCACACTGTCTCCATTGACTCCAGATCAGCGTAAAGTCTGCTTGAGATTCTTTCCCCTCCTCCTTCTCCCTGTTCCTCTCCTCCTCCTTGCATTTGTGCTCTCTCTCAAATAATAATATAAAAATAAATAAGTAAAGTCTTTTAAAAATAAATACATGCCTATCCACAACAGGCAAATCTATAGAAACAGAAAGTAGATAAGTGGTTTTCTGAAACTGTGGGTGAGAGAGGGATAAAGACTGACTGCAAATGGATATAGGGTTTCCTTTTCGGGTGACAAAAATGTTCCAAAAGTAAGTTGTGGTAATCTGTGAGTATATTAAATACCACTGAACTGTACACTTTGTTATTTTAGTTTAAATCGAATTTGAATTTTTTATTGCAGTATAATTAATATAGTGTTATATTAGTTTCAGGTGTACAATACAATGGTTCAACAATTCTATATACATTACTAAGTGCTCATCATAATAAGAGTACTCTTAATCCCCTTTATTTTAGCTCTTTCTCCCTCCCACCTCCCCTTTGGCAACCACCAATTTGTTCTCTGTGCTTAAGGGTCTATTTGTCTCTTTTTCATTTAATTTTTTCCGAAACTCCACCTCTGAATGAAATCATATTGTATTTGTCTTTGTCTTATTTCACTTAACGTTATGCCCTCTAGATACATCTATGTTGCTGCAAATGGCAAGATCTCATTTTTTATGGCTGAGTAATATTCCGTTGTATATGTATATCACATCTTCTTAATCCATTCATCTGTGGATAGGCACTTGGGTTGCTTGCATATCTTGGCTATTGTAAATAATGCTGCAATAAACATAGGGGTACATATATCTTTTTAAATTAGTATGTTTTGAGGAGGGGAGTAAATATACAGTAGTGGAATAACTGAATTACATGGTAATTTAATTTTTAACATTTTGAAGAACTTCCATACTGTTTTCTACATTGATTGCACTAGTTTGCATTCCCACCAATAGTGCAAGAGAGCTTCACTTTTTTCTCCACATACTCAGCAATACTTGTTTCTTGTGTTTTTGATTTTAGCCATTCTGACAGGTGTGAGGTGATATCTCATTGTGGTTTTGATTTGCATTTTCCTAGTTAATGATGTTGAGCATCTTTTCATGCATCTTTTGAGCATCTGTAGATCTTCTTTGAAGAAATGTTTGTTCAGGTCTTCTGCTCATTTTCTAATTGGATTATTTGTGTGTATTAAGCTGCATAAGTTCTTTTTATATTTTGGAATATTAACCCCTCATTAAATATATCATCTGCAAATATCTTCTCCCATTCTGAATTGTATGCTTTATTTTTTATTTTTCAAAAATTGTATTTATTTATTTGAGAGTGAGAGAGCACACACATGTGAGAGAGAACGAGTAGGGGGAAGGGCAGAGGGAGAAGGAGAAGCAGACTCCCAGCTGAGCAAGGAGCCTGATACAGGGCTCGGTCCCAGGACCTCAGGATCACAACCTGAGCTGAAGGCAGATATTCAACCACTGAGCCACCCAGGCACCCCTGTACTATATACTTTAAATGGGTGAAATGTGAGTTGTACCGGTACATAATTTGTGAGTTGTACCTCAATAAAGCTACTTTTTTTAAAAAAAAAAGACATGAGAGCCAGTTTTGTATATCAAAATGAGTAATTTTAATGAATCAAAAAACATTAAATCTACAGAAATTCGTGAGTCTACAGAAAATGAAAGCGTGCATTAAACAGCATTTAAGATGGATTTTCAATACTTATTTTGAAAACTGGTGTTTAAAAGTAAAGAAGCCTTTGTCCTGTTTCCCCAGAACTGATTCTGAGGAATTTTTAATTTTATTGCTTACAATATTATTTTACCCAAGTAGGTAAATATTCTTATTTTTGAGATGTATCCTAAAGGGAAGGAAAATCGTATCTGTAAGCTAACCTGAAGTATCTCAATATAAAAAATTATTTTAAATTAGTAATATATTAATTATCTTGAAAAGCCAAAATAAAATCTGTATGTTCTGTTGGTTAATGCATAAGATAATACTGCACTGAGCTTATCAATTTTGTAAAATTGAGGAAAACTGGATAAAGGCGATCACATATAACCAGTATTTAGAAAAATTGTTCCATATATCCAGTGTGTGCAACACTGAAGCAGGTTTTCATGTACTAATCAGGGATCCCTGGGTGGCGCAGCGGTTTGGCGCCTGCCTTTGGCCCAGGGCGCGATCCTGGAGACCCAGGATCGAATCCCATGTCAAGCTCCCGGTGCATGGAGCCTGCTTCTCCCTCTGCCTGTGTCTCTGCCTCTCTCTCTCTCTCTCTCTCTCTGTATGACTATCGAAAAAAAATAAAAAAAATAAAAAAAAGATTTTCATGTACTAATCATTTAAAGGGATTGGAAGCAATGAGTAACAGACCAGTCAGAGTGTGATCAAGGGTACCAGTATACTCCCTGATACCGGACACAGAGAACACGTATTCATTCATTCATTCATTCATTTCATCAAAATGAAGAGGAAGAGAAAAAGTTATAAAGGGCATCCTTTGTTTGACTTACCTTTTGAGCCAGCTCTCCTGCTCCTCCTGCTTAGTGCTCCCTGTGGCTGGTGAAACACAGCTCTCTTCCTTGCTCCAGCTGATAGATGTGGGCTGGTTTGGAAGTTGGTGATACTACCTGAAGGAAAGAAGATGGTGAGAGGTAAATATTCTTATTTTTGAAATATATCCTATGATAACCAGAGTCGTAGCAGTCAATCACAGCCTGTGGCTGCAAAATGAGCCAAGGTGGGGAGAGTAATTCCAGGGTGGACTGAGCAAGAGGTACCCTAAAGAGGTACAGGGAAGTATCCTGGAAAGAAGTCTCTGCATAGTGCTCCCAAGGAAGCCTGAACACCCTGAGAGACAAATTTCTACTTAAAGAGAAACAAAATTTCTTACTTTCTTTGTTAAAGGATAGAAAATTCCCACTGTGGGGAAACAGACACATGGTAGAGCATCTCCCACAGGTAAACAAATAGGCTGAGTTCTCTCAAGATCACCTGGAGATTCAATACTAGGGAGAAGATACCAAGATTTGGCTCCAACCTTACTGTACCCAGAGTATCACCTCTAAAAGGTAGGGAGAGAGGGTAACTTTTATGAGGTAAAAAGAAGGAAAATTTTATTGGAGGTTAAATAGTTATGGAGGGCTCTCCTTGCCTGGCGAGCCTTGACATTGCCTTTTGGGGTCAGCTAATAGTGATAAGAGAATTCTTTAACCTCTGATGGCCCAGGCAGACAAAGTAGCAGAGACGCCTTACCAAAGAAAGCCACAGTCTCATAGCTTTCCAGTATCATACCCTTTGTACAAGGCCCTATAAACAGGCAAGGTTGGCCCATTCCTTCTCAGTGAAGTACACAGCCACATCTTCAAAAGTTACTGGTTCCCGAAAGGATAAGTTCCTGCTCTCTTGGGCCTCAAGACTTTGGTGATGGTCAAAACCATCACTGAGAGGCATAGAAAGGGCACCTACAGTGGTAAGTATTTAGCATTGGGTCCCTCGTGTACCAGAGGGGTTTTTGTGTGAAATATCCATATGTATATACACACATGCATATGTGCAGAGGCAGAGGAAACCCAGCTTACCTGGGGCTTGGCTATTGAGGACACTGCTGTCATCATCTGATCTCTTTTATTCCCATCTTGGGGAAAAGTAAGTCTCAGGAGCTAAAGGTAAAGAAAGAAACATTAGTAACAATAACTCTACTGACCATAACTCCTGCACACAACATCTGACCCCTCTGAGGCTATGTGAATTACTACTACTTCTCAGTTACTGCCTTGTATCAGTGGCAATTCTCATCTCACGATGATGAAATAGCAGGCATAGACGTGAACATAGAAAGGTAACAGAAATCATCCCAAGAATGTAGGATGAGAAGGTGGACTGAGAAAACTATAATTTTCAGTAATCCAGAGAAGACATCATAGAGGACAGAAGGGGATCCCTGGGTGGCGCAGTGGTTTGGCGCCTGCCTTTGGCCCGGGGCGCAATTCTGGAGACCGGGATCGAATCCCACGTCGGGCTCCTGGTGCATGGAGCCTGCTTCTCTCTCTGCCTGTGTCTCTGCCTCTCTCTCTCTCTCTCTGTGTGTGTGACTATCATAAATAAATAAAAATTAAAAAAAAAAGAAAGAGGACAGAAAAGGAAACCAGGGTAGTCAGTGGTTAGAATGTCATGTGCTGAAAAGAAAGCTGGTGCTCCAGTTAAGATCCCTAGAATCCACACAGTACAATTAGGAATGAGTTATGTACAAAGAATCCATCAAACACAAGATCTCAGGATCTGCTTTTCCTTTTATGTTTTAAAATATTAGAATAGGGCAGTTTTATTACATAAGCAGTAAGTAAAAACAGAATTTGAAAAAAAAAGTTTTTTTAGGAATATCTTTATGTCTCCCACTACTAGTTTCTCCTCTAAATACATAGACTTATTATAAGATCTTCATTCAATTTTATAAATGTTGGGAATAGGTCGTGAGAAGAAACATGTGAGAAGAAACATATTAAATGATCCACTAACTTCATGACATATCTCAAATACTCCCAAGTTCTAAATATTATAAGAGAAGCAAAACCAAATTCATAAAGTAGTTACAACTACCTTTCTGGGTCAGTTAATAGTGCATCATTATGAAGTAAGCCTTCTGCCATTCAGTACAGTGAATCAGCAAGGTTTACACGTTAAAGGTAACCCCCTAAATGCAAATAGCTGCTATCAGGTCAGAAGTATTTAATAAGTATAAAAGTGCATGGACTTGTAAATGTTAAAAACAACTTCCACTTCAATTCCCTAGCTGCAGTTTGCTAAGTCTCAGGATCCTACAATAGCATCAGACAAAAGACCTTAGATACCCAGAACACTGCCCATTCCTCCACTGACCCGTCTTAGTGAGTCCAAAAAGTCATGCAAGAAGGTAGAAGAAGCTGAGGCTCTCAGAGAAAAAGAGCTGTCAGGACAGGATAAAAACCCACATTCTGGCAATTACAGGGAATTCCAAAACGGAGAAAGAGTAGTTACTAAATGCAGGATGTGCAAAAAAACACAATGCAAACCCACACAAGTAATACTTCTAAATTCATGGATGGTCTTTGTCCCAGTTAACAAAAATCAGTGATTCATACTGAGTAAATAGGTACCCTTGTGGTTGTACTCTAGTTCCCTTAAATCATGCTGTCATCATATCTTTGTAATAAATGTCCCTTACAGTGGATACTTAATACTGACATATGAAGCAAATGGGCTTAAGCAGAAAGGTCTGATCTGCACAGTTGACAATCTGTAAAAAGTAAATCCTCTGGAAGTAGAACAGTAGCAGAGGCCGCCCTACAAAACACTCCTTCCTACTTGCCTACGAAGAAAACCAAAACTATGGAGTTGAAACATAGGTAACAAGCTCAGGCTGAGAACTAATCACAACCCAACACACTTCACTAACAGCCGGGTCCAACTTTTTAATCTGATTGATAGAAACCCTAACAATGAGGTTATGACAATAAGGGAAAGTCAAGAGAACGTAATGAGAAGAGTGACAAACGACGTGAAGAGGGTAAGAAATCTCTCCATTTTCTTTAATAGTGTACACGTGAAATTGTACGCTAAACAGTGGACACCTACCAGGTGCTTGGTGGATGTGACTCGTCATGAGATTTCTAGATTAGACATTCACGTGGGACCATCCAAACTCAGGGCTCCCCCGTTCCCCGCTGTGTGCATTAAGTAAATAGTCTCCATTCGAGGGTAAAAAGGCCCTACCATTTCAATATTCTCAAAAACTCTGCTCTACGGACAGTAATAAGCTTCCAGATTAGGTTTACACCAGGCCGGGCAAATAAAGTAAGTGACGTGATCACAGACCTATTTCCTGGAACCACCTGAAAAGGGGGGAAAGAGCATGAAGACGTACAGGCCGAGGGGTAGGGCTGAGGTCTCCACGGCTCGGGCAAGAGGGGCCTGCAGCGACCGCGAAGTCGTGTTCTCTATTGATAACGTGTCCCGGGGCAAAGACGTGTGAAACGTTTCGAGGACCTCGGTGTCAACACTCGAATTTGTGTCAGTACCAGAATCTAAACAGGCCACACAGTCGTCGTGGGGACGAGAGACCAGCGGGCGAGCCCCGAGGCCAGAACCCCGGAATCCAGCGGAGCCCACGGGGTTGGTGAGGATCCCAGTAACCGCGCCCGTTTCCCGCGGAGTCCCTCCCGTCCTCCTCAGGCCAAGCCAGACCCACTCACCGTGGGCTCCGGGCGGCCTCTACCGCTTTCTAGCTAACAGGTTTGGGGAACCACTACGGGTCCTCACAAACCAAACGCTCGCGCATTAAAGAAAATATGGCTGCGCCGGAAGTACGTCATCACACTGTCCCACCAACTTATGCCCTCTCTGAAATTCTCTCTAGTAAACTTGGAGGACCCCACATCTCGGTGGTCACGTCTTCTAGTTCCCGCGAGACACGCCTGAGGAGAAGGGAGGGCCAGCGAGGAGATAGCCTCAGGTTCATAGCCCAGGCACCGTACGGAGCGGGTCTAACCGACCTCCAGCAGGAGGCGGAGCCTAAGGCTAAAGCAAGAAGCGGGCAACTCATTCCATTGGCTATCAGGCGAGGGGGCGGGGCCCAGCCAGGCCAATGAGCAGTGGATCCCGCTGGGGTCGCCCTGGCGCTCGGCGGCCGCAGCCTGTTCCCTAGCCTGACCGGTGGAGCCCCCTGGCTGGCAGGTTTCCCGCCTGGAGGTGAGTCTCTTCAGAGGCTGGAAGAGCAGTCGGCCTGGTGGGAGATCAGACCAAAGCTACGAGCTGGCCTGGACGGGAGAGGGATTCTGCGCAGAGGAGCCTCCGAAACGTTTGCTGGTTTGAATGGAAGTCGAGAATTCGAGTAGTGAGAAGGCGGTGCTTGTCCTTGTCGGTCCTGCATAGTAGAGAGAGCCGCCTTGAAGGAGGGTCAGAAGCAGGACGAAGTGAGTCTAGAAGCTACACAGTCCTGCATACCTTTCTTAGACCATCTTGATTGGCTCAGCGAGCTTCATTTGTCCACCACTGCTCGGTGTCCTCATATGTCTAGTTCCCACCCAGGCTACCCAAAGGCCCTACCTCCTAATACCATCACCTCGGGATTAGGATTTCAGCATCCCACACACCACCGCCAGCGGAGGGATAAGCAGTGGGCTTATAAGCAGAGTAAAAAGAGCAGTTCAAGTTACCTAAGACATGCCCATCTCCGTCCAGCACAGTTTAAGCAGACCCAGGACAACATGGCATCAGTACATTAAAGATGAGAGGACAGGGATCCCTGGGTGGCGCAGCGGTTTGGCGCCTGCCTTTGGCCCAGGGCGGGATCCTGGAGACCCGGGATCGAATCCCACGTCGGGCTCCCGGTGCATGGAGCCTGCTTCTCCCTCTGCCTGTGTCTCTGCCTCTCTCTCTCTCTCTCTGTGACTATCATAAATAAATTAAAAAAAAAAAAAAAAGATGAGAGGACATCTTTCAGAAAGCCTGTTGAAAGCCCCAGAGGAGGGCAGCCCGGGTGGCCCAGCGGTTTAGCGCCACCTTCAGCCCAAGGCCTAATCCTCAAGTGCTGGGATCGAGTCCCACGTCGGTCTCCCTGCATGGAGCCTGCTTTTCCCTCTCCCTGTGTCTCTTATGAATAAGTAAATAAAATCTTAAAAGAAAAGAAAGAAAGAAAGAAAGAAAGAAAGAAAGAAAGAAAGAAAGAAAGAAAGAAAGAAAGAAAGAAGAAAGAAGAAAGAAAGAAAGAAAGAAAGAAGAAAGAAAGAAAGAAAGAAAGAAAGAAAAGAAAGCCCCAGAGGAGACAGGAGTGGGCTACCCCCAGAGCACTGTGGTTCCAGAGCCTGTGGAGGAGGAAAAGTGACCACCCTGGATGCTAACAATGGAGGGACACAAGCTGAAGGACATTTGCTACTGTCTCCATTGCCCTTGGGTGTTGTAGACATATGCAGCATTGCTGTAGGAACACCGTGGAATAAGAGCTAATACAAACGCCCACATGCAGCTCACACCCAAGCGCTAGCAGTGGACCTACAGTAGCCCTGAATTCAACCTGGGGGTGACATGAACAAGCACCCAAAATCACTGTCACCATCATTCTGATGGCTCAGTCTTATGTAATCTTGTGAAGGAAAAACCATGCCAACCACCCTCCTAAAACTGAAGGTGAGCCACGGGACCCTGGGACAACCCCAAAGGTGTGTACCTGGCCAACTCCACACGATGAGTAAAAGGCCAGAGAGTGCCCCAAAGGGGAGAAACAGAGCCCAGGACCTATTCATGTCAATCTATTCTTGGAGTCTCCTATTTAATAGCACTATTAGACCTAACCACCCCCAGGCAGAGCAGTAGATGACAAAAAATGTAGAGGAAGGAACTAGAAAATGTAAGAACCCCTGTATGCCTTGGGGTAGGACTCTGTTTTCCTTTGTCTAATGCTGGTACTGGGCATGGATTTAAGTCCATGGTCAGAGAGTTGCACATACCATTTTATCACAATGGTTCGAAGTTGGTCACATGGCCAAACATACCTATAGGAGAAACTGGGAAATTTAACAATGTCTATAAAAGCAAAGGAGAATGGAGACTAGGAGACAAGTAACAGTCCGTACCATGATCACTGTAAGATAGGATGAAAGATTAGAAAACTGAATTTTTAGCTTTCTGTACTGTATAGTGAAAGACAGCAAGAGAGGAAGGTGCTGGGCATAGCCAGAATAGCCCATCTGGCACCTGAGGGTCCATTAGGAAAGAGTGTCCCCTAAACAGATACAATCTTGTGGATGTGTGACACGCCAAGTGGAACAAGAGCAAGATTTCAACTCCCCAGTTTCCCCTTAGGCCAGTTACTCTTGTTATGACACAATTATCACAACCATATAGGACAGACCCTAAATGGTTCTGAGGTCAACCAACCAGTAATGTCACACATTCCAATCCCTTGTCAACTGCTTGGTGCTCTTCCTACACATTTCCCCATATTAATACAATATGTACAAAACATATAGAGGGTCTGATCTCTACCTCCTCTACACACTGAGAAAAGCTCTAACTCTCTGTGCCACTAGGCAAATATTCTCAGGGAAAAAGTCTGGGTGAATGTGAAATTCATGTTAACTGCCTCCTCTTTCTCAAAAATCATCACATTGCACTAGTTGCGAGGGATTATCTGCAAACAGTTGGTAGTTTGTTTTAAGTGTGGTTCACTTTGAAAAATAAAAAATCAAGAAATCCACCTCAAGAGGTTGAAAACTAAAGAGGATGGTCCTACCCTTATAACAAAAAATAGCCAGATAATCTGAAAAATTCCCCTGAATACATCAAAGTTGAAACTTTAGGGCAATTTACCTGAAATCTAAGGAAAAACAGTCACATTGATACCAACATTTTTCTCCAATTTCTTATGTGGATGTCAACTGTCTTTTGAAAGAGCTCAGGTTCTTTTTAAAAATATTTAAAATCCAACATATAAAAAGGTACATGATATGGACTGTTGACACTATAAGAAATAGAATTGATACTCCAACATGAAAAAACATTCAATCTTAGAATTTATATCAAAAAAAGTGTAAAAAAAAACTCTCTCAAACCCTGAGATTCCATTTTATACTTATTAAACTAATAATCTCTAAAAAGAACTGTAATATCCACTGCTGGTTGCAAGCAAATGCAAACTTGCTACATTGCTGGGAAACAAAATAAATTGGTATGAATTTTTAAATTTTTTTTTTAAGATTTTATTTATTCATAGAGACACACACACAGAGAGAGGCAGAGACACAGGCAGAGGGAGAAGCAGGCTCCATGCAGAGAGCCCGTATGAATTTTTATAATGATTATTTGATGACGTTTCAAAACCAAAAATCTTCATACTTTTGGATTTGTATTCTCATTCCTGACAATTTATCCCGAGGAAATAATAAAAAAGAAGAAAATCACCAAGTTGATTATAGCAACATTATTATTAAGAGCTAACAACAAGAATTATCCTAAATGTCCATCAAACTATTTCGAAAAACAAGAAGTTACTGCCTATAGGGTACAGGACACTATGATGGCTGTCGAATTAAAAAAACAAAGACTAAGACAAAGCCACTGCTCAAAATTTTAATTTAACATTTGATGAGGGGAATAGATAATAAAGATACAGCTACTCACTGACAATTAGTAATCATGAAAATCATACGCAAATGGGAAGAGGGAAGTTGCTTAAGATAATAGTTATTAAAAATTAATTTGTTATGATTAAGATCATAAAAATTATGTATATACATGGGACAAGGACTAAACATAGACTTTTAAAAAATGAAAGTATGATATCTTGAGATAGTGAGATGGCAGAAACATTTTGCTTTCATAACTTGTGCAAGCCTGTGATAATTTTTCTCATGGTATTCAAGAAAATTCATACTAGATGAACAATCTCAGAGGGCTAAACCACATGTCATAGATAAATAAATCTGAAAGTCAAACACTCATTTACTGACACATATCAATGGCAAATATTAGTGTAATCTTTATGAGTCCAGGTAGCCACTTTCTTCTTTGCATATATGCCTGGTGATCATAACTATTTCAATGTGTATTCAATCCTAATCCTAATCATCAATATACATGTCAATCTTCAGTAAACATCTCCACCCCAGATTTGTCCCTAGTGATTCTCCCAATGTGAACACAATGTACTCTGGCCCACAATGGTGCCATCTGTGTACCTATGCAATGACTATAGATTACTCATGCCCTAGAGGGTTCTTTCTTGCTTGCCCACCAACTATAAACCAGTGCTAGCCTGAGCAAACCAGATAATACTCTGCCACCTAGTGGAGTACAGCTATACCTTCTCCAACAAGGTTTGCACCTCAGCCTTGGGGAGAAAACTCCCTTCTAAATTTGTCCTTCCTTTGGTAACTCCATCAGCCCTAAGGTACCATATAGCATTCTCTTACATCTTAATAGGCTGCTCTTTCATCATAACTTAATAATTCTTTTTATTAGGGCACCTGGGTGGCTCAGTCAAACAGCTGACACTTGGTTTGGGCTTAGGTCGTGATCTTATGTCATGAGATTGAGCCCCACATCCAGCTCCATGCTGAGTGTGGAGCCTGCTTAAGATTCTCTCTTTCTTCTCCCTCTGCTCCTCCCCACTCATTGTCTGTCTCTCTTTCTCTAAAAATAATAATAATAATTCTTTTTATTAAATCTTGCTTGTTTAAAATCACTGAGTTTCTGTCTCCTTATTGGACACAGATTGATACAATCTTCAACCGTAGCAACTGTACAACTCCATTCATTTATCTCCTTTGGGGACATCACAACTTCCTGACCTATCCTGCTCTGAAGAAGCTTACCACTGCAGAGTTGGAAATGACATTGAGTCAACTGGAGGGAAAATAAAAACAAAAATACAAAACAACAATAAAAAAATCTAGCATGTAAATTTTAAATAGAATAAATGTTTCTTTAAGAAAACAGAGATGAAAGAGGTTGTGGTAAGAGAGGCAGCAACAGAGTGATAAGTTCCAAAAGGTCTCAAGGCTAGGTAGGATCAAAGAAAGGGGCAGAAGTGGATAGAGGGTACCTGGCGGAGCAGAAAAGGCAAAGGCTCAGAGGTGGAAAATGAAACAGTATGTGTTGCAGACAGTGAACAGAAAGGAATGGCTGGAGCAGAAAGAGTACTCTGGGGAGGGGCAGAAAGTACAGCTGGACTGGGATTGTCAAGGCAAGAAGGGGAGGGCCTGCTAACTTGCACTTGGGGGGATACATAAAAAAAAAAATGATTACATTTAGAAATTTCTCTCCAGGATGAATTCTCCAATGATGAATAAAATTTGAGTTCCAAACAAAGACTTCCCACATTTCTTACATTCATAGTGTTTTTCTCCAATGTGGAGCCTCTGGTCTTGCTTCATTGTGAACTCTTACTGAAGCTCTTCTCATAACTCATGGGGTTTTGCCTAAGGGTGGATACACTGATGTGGATTCAAGCTGACTTTCTGCTTGAAGGCTTTGCTGCAGTCCTTACACTGATAAGCTTTCTCTAGTGCTGTTGAAGATGTGAGTTCTGAGGGAAGCCTTTCCCACACTTCTTGCAAAGGTAGGATCTTTCCCCAGCATGCAGTACTTGGTGGTGAATGAGCTGTGAGTTCAAACTAAAATCTTTACTACATGCATTACCTGCAAAGGATTTTCCTCCAGTAGATGTCCTCTGAATTAGAAGACAGGTAATTTTCTGACAGCCTTGCTACAGTCCCTGCATCTGAGAGTTTTCTCTCCAGTGTGGACTTGCTGGTCCTGGGCTGAAGCTGAAGACTTTGCCACATCTACACTCAGAAGGCTTCTCCTGTTGTGGATTCTCTGGTGTGCAGTGCAATGGGAGCTGCAGCTAAAGGCCCTGCCACATTCTTTGCACATATAGGACTGCTCCCCTGTGGTGGGTCCTCTCAGGGGTCACCTTGCTGGTGAAAACAGGTGAATGCATCTCTGCCTTCAGTTTCAGTGAAGTGTCTGAATAGAAGTAGAGTTGAAGGCAAAGTCTTTGCCATGATCCTTACTCATAGGACTTTTCTCCAGTGAGTTCTCTCTAGGACATAGCAAAATGCCACAGACTGGGTGACTTAAAAATTTATTTTCCTCCAGTTCTGGAGGCCAAAAATCCAAGATCAAGGTACCGGTAGGTTGGATTCCTCTGAGACCTCTTGGCTTGTAGATGGCCATCCTCCCATGCCTCTTCACATGGATGTCCCTCTGTGCATGTGCACTCCTGGTATCTGTGTCTAATCTCTTCTTATAAGGACCCCCATCAGATTAGATTAGGGCCTACTCTAACAACCTCATTTTAACTTAGTTATATCTTTAAAGACCCCATCTCCAGTCACATTCTGAAGTACTGGGGGTTAGAGCTTCAACAGAGAAATTTGGGGAGATCAGTCCACCTCCTATGCTCTGAAGCCACCCGACTCTTAAGCAATGCTGCCTCACTGCCTTCCTATTTACACACTCCAAACATGTTCTCTCCTGCCTCAGGTCCTTAGTGTTTTGCTATTCCCTCTGCCTACAATGCTATGCTCCTAAATATCAGGACATCTTGATCCCTATTTTAGTCTGATCTCTTGTTCAAATGTCCCTTCACTGGAATCTGTCCCCAGTCACTCTATCTACCCTTTGCTATACCTTTTCCCTGTTTTATTCTCCTTCATGGCATTTGCCATGACTTGGCATAAAAATTTATATATTGCGGGGCTCATCCTGTGTTTAAAATGTACTCAGGATTTTTAAAAATCAGGTATAGGAAGGTGAAAGGAAAGGATATAACTGCATTTGAAAGAATAATTTATTATTTATAACTCCTGAAAAGATAGGTGGCATGCCACACCACACAGAGCCACATGGGGAAGTACCAGGGTCGGTCAGGAAAAGGAGTGAGCAGCAAACATAGGCAAAAGCCTTTATTACTATGGTGGTGGGAAGCTGTCAGGTGGGTATGGTCTACTGGGCAGGAAGCAAAACACAGATGTTTGAGTCTGTAGTTGGAGCATTTGTAACATGATTCCTGCACACCCATGAAAGTTAGACAACAGGGGAGATGTAAACAACTCTGGCTTATTAGTTTGGCGTTGTGATCAATGGATGCCAAACATCAATTACACAATCTATACATGTTGGTTAAAACACTCCCACATTTTTGGTGTTACGCCAGTATAGTCAAATGTCAGCTAGTAGAATAACAAAATAGAATAAGGGAATGAGTCTCCATAACTAGTTTGTGCCTGCCCTTCAAGTCCAGTCGACCCTTGAACAACAGGGGTTTGAACTGCATGGGACCACTTATAAATGGATTTTTAAAATAAATATAGTACAGTACTATAAATGTATTTTCTCTTCCATATGATTTCCTTAATAACATTTTCCTTTCTCTAGCTTACTTTATTGTAAGAATACTGCATATAATATGTATAACATACAAAATATGTGTTAATATACTATGTTATTGACAAGGCTTCTGCAGTCAAATGCTCTACCCCTGAGCTATACCCCCTATTTGACAAGGCTTCTGGTAAACAGTAGGCTATTATTAGTTAAGTTTTAGGGGAGTCATGAATTTTTGACTGCAGGGACCAGTGCCCCTAACTCCTGCATTGTTCAAGGGCTAAACCGTATTTCCATGTCCTGAGGGTAATTCTTGCTGCCACTGCCCCACTCCCAGGATTCATCCTGTCCTCTCAGGCCAGGTGTACACCTTCTCCTATCTTTCTTATTTTATCTGAAATCTCTCAGAGGTTACTCTGCTGGTGAATACAGATAGATGCATCTTCACCTTCAGACACAGTTTCACTGAAGTGCCTGCATTGGTTTATCCCAAAACTCAAGTGGACAAAAGATCAAAGAAACCAAAGCTCACCTGAGGCTAAGCTATAAGGGGTGTATTCCCTAGCTTATTTAATTCCTCTTATGCAGAAAAGCTCTCAGGAACTTAAGGCACAGAAAGATACATTAGCAAGATGGGACTGACCACAATTTCTTGTGTAGAACTGCTACCCCAGGTCCTGCTTTTAATATTAACATTGTTTATATTGGGCAGCATAATTCTCTGCTCGCAAGAGGAAGATTACAGGCACAGATCAAAATGCTGAGACCAAGCAGATATTCTAGGAAGGAGCCTGAGAAAACTGTAGATTCCATGAATCCAGATCCATAATCACAGGAGAATAGCCAGGAAAGGAGACAGGGGCCGGGGTGAGGGATGGATAGAGGATTTATATACCAAAAAGAAAAATGGAGCCCCAAGCTATGAATAAAGTTCCCTAGAATCCCCATGCCGGAGATTGGAAAATGTTTACTATATATGCACACAAACACTGGAAGACCTTGAAAAAGTCCCGCTCAACCTCTGCTTTTCTGCTGTATAGAAATAAGACAGTTGGATTAGGCAACTTCAAAATTCCTTTTCAGCAATAAAAGCCAATAATTCGAATGAAGTAAACCAAAACAAGACTTGGAGATAATTTACCAATAAGATTTTAAGACTCCCTAATACTGTTTTATCTAAGATATATAGATTATTTTTAAGACGCTTCATTAATTGTATAGCTCTGGCAAGGGTGGGAAGAAGGTAAGTTGAAAAAAAATTGAATAGCAGCCATGTTTCAATTACATACCAAGTTACAAGGCATATCCCAAGTATTACAGTATTATATTCATAACTGATTTCCAAACCCCACTCTGTCAGCTACTTAGTTCATCATTGGAAAACAGTGGGTTGGTTCTGCAAGGTATGCCCATTAAAGACAATACTTGCAATACAGCAGGTACCACTGGTTAGATCAGAGATTCCATACATACCAAAACTACATGTACTGGTAAATCTTTACACTTTAACTGGTTTGGTTTGAGGCAAGATGGTTGCTATCACCATACCCAGTTGTCCTGCTCACACATCACACATGAACAGACAAGACAAATCCCACAACCAATCTCAGTTCTGTTTTCCCAAGTCCATGGCATTCTGATGCTAAAGCCCTTCAGGAAGGTCAAGGAAGCCAGGCATGTAGGTCATGGGAAAGGCTGTCAGATGATGCTAAACACTACACCTCTGTGAGTATAAAGACTATAATAAGAACAGAGTAGTTAAAATTATGAATTGAAGGACATAAGAGAAAAGGCAATGTTACATCCTCACATGCAGAGCTAATATGAAAGGTATTCTATCCAATATTAACACAAGTAGTAATTCCCTGCAAATTGAGTAATTAGGGTATTCCTTGGACATGGGTGTTCTGTTTCTCTTAAATCAAGGTGTTACTGGATTTTTGTACCGTCTTGTCCAATATAGGAGGTATTTCATGGAGATTGGGACTTCCACAATCTCACAAGAAACCTTCAAAAAGGTCAGATCAAGTAAATGGTTGTTGAAAAACATAGGCTTCAAAAATATTAAAGCCCTATGTGACTTATCTGAAATATAGTAGACTTAAAGTTTTCCTAAATAACCCAGAACATTTTCTAGAATCTGATGTCAGCCATAAAATAATTTCAAGCATTGGGATACTTGGGTGGCTCAGCGGTTGAGTGGCTGCCTTTGGCTCAGGGCATGATCCTGGGTCCAGGGCTCGAGTCCCACATCAGGCTCCCTGTGAAGAGCCTGCTTCTCTCTCCCTCTGCCTACATCTCTGCCTCTCTCTATCTCTCTCATGAATAAGTAAATAAGATCTTTTTAAAAATCTCAAGCGTTGATATTATCAGATAAATCTGTTGCAACCCAAGTTACTTCATGAACAGAGGCTGATTGTAAACCCCAGTTAGGTCTGAATCCTCAGAACTTTAATGTTACGACACAAGGTAAAAGAGGATGCAATGAACAGGGTTAACAGACAGATGTTAAAAATAAGAATTCCTTACTGTCATCCCAATATTTCAGAAGCAAGTTCCATCTTAGAGTAAAACTCCCAAACTGCAATGTACTAGACCCTTTGGCTGCTCCATGGACAGTTACAAGCTTTTGGTGTGGGCTAAAAGCCATACCAATGGAGTTAAGTGTTTACAATTTTCTAGGTCCACCTGAAAATGAACGGGGTCCTGGGGTTGGGCATTCTAAGAGAGATGGGTGTTTCTAGAGCCCAGATGCAAGCACGGAGGGAGAGGACAAGCATATCCACCGCGGCTGGATTAGCCTAGAAGGGGGATGGTGATATCCTTATGGGGCTGTCCGAACCGCCCCCTGTCCTAACGCCTTACAGGAAAATAGACAAATGTGGTGGAAAAGCTGGAAGTGGGGGGTGCAAGTCTGGCCAGCACTCCAGGTCTCACAATACCTTCTCTAGTCACGACCAAAGCGACTATCAAAGTCGGGCTCTGTACAGAGTCCTTCCCATCCTTCCAGGACCAACCGGACTGCTCACCTTGGGCTCCGCTCCAGGCCTACAGATTTTCTCTCGACATAAGTTGTGGTCAGCAAGAGTCAATATTCAAATGGTACCCTCACACTTAAAAAACAAAACAAGGGTACCTGGGTGGCTCAGTGGTTGAGCATCTGCCTTTGGCTCGGGTCCTGGGATGGAGTCCAGGCAGGGAGCCTGCTTCTCCTTCTGTGTATGTCTCTGTCTCACTGTGTGTGTCTCTCATGAATAAATGAATGCAATCTTAAAAAAACAAAACAAACAAAACCCCTCCGCCTAAAAGAAAAACATGCTGTGCCAGAAATGCATTGTCACCATGACCAGCCCGACCCTAACCTCCCTCCGGTTCTCTCTTAGGAACCTTGGAGACCCACACCTAGGTGGTTCCTCCTTCAGACCCTGGGAGACTAACCGGAGGAAAAGAGCAGGCACTGTCTGCTCCTCCCATCTTCTCTCCCAGTTCTGATTCTAGGTTCCCAGACACCCAGACAGGGGTGCTTCTCTAACTGGCTTCCCCAGAGAGGCGGCAGATGTCTAAAACAAGAATTAGAGGTAGAGCTATTCATTCCGTTGAATACCGGGTGGAGGCGTGGGGCCCACCTAGACCAATGAGCAGTGGGGCCCACAATGCTGCGCGCATCCCCAGCCGGAATCAGGTCCAGTTCCTTCCCAACCAATTTCCTTCTGCGCCTAGAAAATTCATGGTCATGATGGGAATTTTAATGGGGCTGATGGGTTTGCCTCGGCAGTTAGCCCAATATTTCAGGGTTCTGATCAATATTTAAAACTCTATTTTATTTCTATATTCTGCAAAGAGGAGATTGAAAGTTAAATATTACTTACAATGGCTTCTAAATATATATTTAGAGATAAATTTGGCAAAAGATGTACCACACCTGTACAGAAAAACTACAAAATTAAAATACATAGATATACCGTGTTCATGGATCAAAATCCAAAATACTGCCTATTTGATTTACAGATTCAACCAAAATCCCTGCAGATGTTTTTGTTGAAATTGTCAAATTTCTTCTAACAGGTATATGGAAATGCAAAGGAATGATAAAAAACCAAAATAACCTTAGGGGGAAAATTGGAAGACTTACACTGCCGGATTTCAACAGTTATAAAGATAATAGTAATGAAGATGATATTGTATTGGCATCAAGACAGACAAATCAGTGAGTCTGGTGATAGATTCATATATAGGATTGTGACCGTGCAGTTCAATGGGAAAAATAATCTGTCCAACAAATGGTTCTAGAAAAATTGAAGTTAATCCAAAAAATAATCTTAGCCCATTCCCATACAAAAAATTGCCTTGAAATGTATTATAGACTTAAATGTAAGAGTTAAAACCATAAAACATGTGGAAGAAAACAGGAGAAAATGTTAATTACCTTGGGTATGGCAAAGATTTCTTAAATGATACACACAAAAACACAAACTATAAATGAAAAAAATACTTCAACTGTCCACAGGAATACTTTCTTTGCAGTTTGCACAGACACTATATAGGGTGGTCGTGGCCATGGCTATATGCTTCTCAATTTAAATCCAAGAGAGGGCATCTCCCCCTGAAGCTATTTTCAAAAGTCCTGAGCTCCACTCTGTTTGGATCAACCTAAGTCACAACCATTAAATGTAGCAAAGGAAATGGCATTATTCCAAATGATTTAAGCCAGTCAGGTCCCATCCTGTTAGCCAGTAGTATAGTTAAACTATCCTATATGGCTGTGAAATGTGAGTGCCTTTATTAAAAAGAAGAAAGGGGAGGATGGAGGCCAGAGCAGCAACCAATCAAGTCCACTACATTATCAGTTGCAGGGAAGGAAAGGGCATCTATCAGTTATTCAGTTCTACCAGAGATATTCTTAAGATCCTGAATTGGGCCTCCTAACCTTGTAGTTTTAGTCTTTAAGCCACAGAACTAGGATTTTGTTCCATCCTCCTAGATCTCCACTAAAGCAATTATATTTTAAACATTGACTCCAGAGAAACATGAAGAACTTGAGGAGAGGCAGAGTCTATGCCTTTCCATCCTATTTCAGTTGCCTGTGCTTAGAACAAGAGCAGTCTTACCTCTGTCCAGCAGAGGGTGTTCCTGGCACCTTTTTTTTTTTTTTCCTGGCACCTTTTGAATATACTCATTTCTAGCTCCAGCACTCTTTGACCTAGAGGAGAAAATTGGCTTTGCAGGCTGGCAGAGCACAGCTAATTTTGCAACTGACTTGATCACCCACTGTAGGCAAAAAGTCTTCCTCTTAATAAATCTGTGTTTCTATTCTGGTATGTTCTTTATGTTGAACAGGTTTTTAAAGGATCAAAGAAATGATTAACAAACCTCCAGATGAGGTTGGCCTGTACAAGATTTTCCTAAAGGCAGCACTATTGGCATTTGGTGTCAGATAATCTTTGTTGTGGCGGAATGCCTTGTGCATTGCAGCATATTTAGTAGCATGCCTGCTTCTACCGGCAGATGCCAGGAGCAGCCCAATCCTCAACTGTGACAACAAAAAATTTCTCTAATTGCCAAATTGTCTAGGGAAGGGGAGCACAATCACCTCCAGCTGACCTACACAGATATATTCCTCATTCCTTGAAAAAGCAAAACATGGTTAAAAATTATGGCTGTAGCTGAGATCTAAGTTGGAGATTGATGGGGGATACAGTAAAACCATCAATTAAAACAAACCAGTAATACAATTTTGATTATTCACCAAAGGAACTTGGGCTTTGCTTTTTAAGCAACAGAAAAATAATTAAAGGACTTATAGAAAGAGAGTGATATAATAGGTTTTCATTTTAAGAACATTTTCTTGATCTTAGAGGATTGAAAAGACAATAGCTATCACAAAACTCTGAGATGGTAATTATATGAAATAAAGCCATGGAAGCTGAAAAGAATGAATAGATTGTCCCTATGTCTTATGTACGCTGTCAGCTGATTTTCAGTTTCTTTATTAATGCCATCATGAGTGGCTTCCCTCAGGTGTATCTGTTACCTTTTCAGAATATTTACACTGTATACATCCTGGGGTTTTTATCTTTTATGTTTTTTGCTACCAGTTTCCAGCATATTCTACTCTCCCTCCCTTCTCTAGTTTCCTCTTCATAAAGGTTTGCATTTTTCAAAGGAACATCAGGGAATCTGATTTGCCACCTCCAGGACTGATACATCAGAGGAACTTAGCCCCTTTGGCATGAGTATCCTTTGAGTCTCCCAGGAAAATAAAATAACCTTGGGGCCTGGTGGTTAGATTCCATGCATTCAGAATTACTATGTTCTCAAAGAGAATGGGGCAGAGTCAAAAGCCTATGTCTGTCTCTCCATAGGGTGCTTTTGGTGGGCAGGAAACACATCTGAAGGGAAGAATAATCTATAGTATAGGACACCACCTGGGACAACAGTTGATTGCCAGACAAATTTACATTTTGGCTTCTTTTCTCACACCAATTCTTTCTCATTTCTCTTTATATTATCAACAAATAAGATTTTGTTATATACTTGAAAATAAGTAAATAACTTTTTATCAGCTTTAGTGGGTCCAATATACTAGAGATCAGAATGGGTCTCATGCTTCTTTCATACTAAGCATACTAGTCCAGCCTGTAATCGGGGGTGGAGACTGAAAAATACAGTGGCTTATCTCCAACACCTGTATCACTTACACCAGAAATATAGTTCTATTCTTGGGGAGCGGGGTTCAAAGCCAGTTCTTTTTGTTTTCTCTTTTTGCTCATTTCTCAATTACTCAGCAGAGAAATGACTTTCACCTTCAGAGAACATGCTCTAGGGGACTCTGTACCTCTTAATAGTACTGGAACACTGTTCACTAAAACAAAGCCTTAGTGAATATGAAAAATACCTTGTTATTTCACAAGAATCCACCTTAAAATAGAGGTGACATGGCAAACCTCAAGTTCACATAGGTCGGGGGGCGGGGGGGGGCGGGTCTAGAAAATACATCAGAGATAGGAAGTTATCTACTAGAGAATCTGGAACCGAGAGTATTATATCCACATTTGGAAGGTATGCTAAGACATGACAAATAAGTCTGGTGGTATTCATGAAATTAAGTTTAAGGCATGAGAGTTGGCTATTTAGCCACTCAAGCTCCAAGCAACTGAGATGAGATACAAATAAGCAGCTCATGTGACTACTAAACAGGAGAAAATGTAACATTAAGGTGCTGTATAAGAGGCCAGGCTTTCAAATACAAGCCTGTATCAATATGACTAAGTTACAGATGACAGAAAACCCAAATCTAACTAGTTTAATAAAGGATATGTATTGGCTCACATAACTGAAAAGTCCAGAGGTAAGTCTATTTCAGGTAAGGCTTGGGCTAATGGCTCAATGTCACCAGGGACCCAGTTTTTGTCTGCATTGCCACTATCTTCTTCAGTATTGGCTTCATCCTCAGGCCCCACAGGCTAACACCAGGAAGCTCTAGACTCCCCCTCACCTTCCCTTTTAACAGAAAAGAAGTGTTACCCTAGTTCCAGGTCTCGTATCTTCCTAGATATCATATGGAGGACAGAGAATGCCTCCTTTGGTTGTTGTCAAAGAAAAGCCTCTCTCTTTCAGAAGACCCAGTAAATATCTCCTCATAGCTCATTGGCTCTGTGACCAAATAGGACAAGGTGATGGACATGGGCTTATAGAGTTGGGACTGAAGCCAAGTCAGGTGGCTAAGAAACGATACTTTCCCTAAGAATATATGGGTTTTGTCTGCAGAGGGAAGAATGGATGCTGGGAACCAAATAAGAGATGAGTAATACAGAACCCTGACTTGGCCATGACAAAGACAAGCTTAGAATTGCAGACACTGTTTTGCAACTGAATTGCTTCTAAGACAACTCTGTAGGTACCTCTGAGGGATTTCATTATTCATTCCCCCAAGAGATTCTGGGCAGGCCAGCTGATTTCCACAATATGAATAACTCTATACACTATTTTTATATTTCCTCACTTTCCAATCCTACTTCTGAAAATTTTGAAGACAAAATTTTACCATAATCAACTTTGATTTTAATATATTGCCAATTGCAATTTATTTATATTGCTAATTGTAAATTAGAAATTAAGTTTCTAATTTTTCTTTTATATTTCTCCAAAATTTAGGAAGTATTAATTTCATTCCTCTTCTGACTTTGAGATGTGTGGAAAGTGTCATTACAAACTGGAAGGTCTTCCATTTTACAATTCCTTCATCACAGACTATGGTCTTTGATATGGGCTTTCAAGTACCTGTCTCTAGGCCTCTGGTAAGGAAGACAGTTAGGAATTCTCTTGGTAGGGGACATCCATTTCTACATGCTATTTCTTAATCTCTCTGAAATATGTATATTTTGCTATGTTTTGATAATTCTTTGTGATACTCCTAAAATTTGTCTTGTCATTTTTCACCTACAAACATTTTCATCTTTGAGGGAGAGTTCCTAGGGTTGGTCAACTTCCATGATGCTCCTCTGTAAGTCCAAACTGTTTCATAGTTCCATTCCTATATTCTTCTTCCTGTTCATTCTCTCTCTCCCATTTTAAGATAGTGATATCACCTAACATACATATTATCTACATCCTGGGGACTTATTAATATTTAGGATTTTAATGATCACCTCCTGTAGCTTAGTTCATTCAACCCTATTTCAACTGTGCCTGTGTCATGTGTCCACTCATAATATTGACTGCACTTCGTATCTCTTCCTGGCCTTCCTCCTGTCCAACTCTCTAAATACTAAATTGGTGTTTCATAGGACTCTATCTTGGGTCCTCATGTTTTGCTATACTCTCTGGAGCCAGTACTGTCTGAAAGAACTTCCTGAAATGATGAAAATGTTCTATGTCTACACTATCCAATACGGTAGCCAACTGCCACATATAGTTATTGTGCACTTAAAATCTGGTCAGTAGAAGAACCTAAATTTTAAATTTAATTTAAATACCTACAAATGACCAGTGGCTACTATATTGGATAGTGCAGCTCCAGGTGATTTCATTCATTTCTTCCATGGCTTTAAATACCTTCTGTTCATCTGATGACTCCCAGGTGCAAAGCTCTAGCTATAACTAACCCAGAGCGCTAGTCCATATATACAACCACCACTTGAAATGTCTACTTGTATATCTCACACATACCTCAAATGTTAATTCAAAACAGAGTTCTAGATTTCTCCTTCCCCAAACCTATTTCCATTCCAGTGTTATCCATTCCAGTAACTGGTCTGCTCTCTAATTCAGCTCCTCAGACCACAAACCAAAAGCTGTCCCTAATTCCTATTACTCCTATATCCACTGTTAGCAGGTCAATGATTTGATTTCTAAACTATATCTTAAATACATTTCCTCTCCATCTCTACTACTACCACCCACTCCAAGCCATTATCATCTCCAACCTGGACTGCTAGCAGTCTCGAATGTGATCTCTCCTTTCACTTTCCTCCCTTTACAAACCATTGTCTACTTAGCAGGCAGCAATCATTGTGAAATGTGAATCAATCATGTCATTCCTCCACTGAATACCCTTTAATACCTTTCATTTAGGATGGAATTAAATGATCTGGTCCACCTATGTCTACAAACCTAACTTGTGCCTTTCAATACCCTTGATCATTGTTATACCCAAAACCTTTTGGTTTCTTGAACATGCCAAACCCTTCACACATCAGTCTGCAGAGCTGTTCCCTCTTCCTTCCCCTATTATTGATACATGTGCCTTCTTCTCATTCTGAGATTTAGCTTTAATGTTACCTCTTAGGATAGACCTTCCCTATTTATATAAAGATGCTCCCTCTCCATCATTCCCTCTCTGTACCATTCATTCCTTCATAATCTCTCTCACTAGATTAATATTCTAGAAAGGCAGGAAGCAGTTCTGACTATTGTTTATTCAGCACCTCGCATAGTGCTTTGCATACAAGCAGGTGCTCAGTGATATTTGCTTAATAAACTTCCCCCAAATACCCTTCATATCACTCATTTCCATTTCTTGGTTCTATTTAGTACAAAATAGAGAGGTTTTACGAGAGGTTACCCTAACTGGAGTATGCTAAGCCAAGTTCTCCTTATTACATAGATTTAGGCTTCAGCAATCAGGGGCCCTAGAGATATGTATGTGGTTTAATCCAAGCCAGCCTCTGGCTTCTCTTCCTTGCTCCTTAGTCAGCAATTATATTATCTGGCTGGGAGCTTCTAAAGTAGAATGTCTAATTAGCAGAGAGGCAAACTGGAAGCTGAAAAATAGCTCTCAAGGTGAAGTCTGGAATGTATGTTTCATCTGTTTTGGCCAGCATTCTTCTCTGAATAGGGCCTCTGTTTCTCTAACCCTTGAAGATGGTCAGTACCATTCTCTAATAATACAGCTTACTCTGGAATGTGGGCTATCATGATGAGAAGAGACTGGAAAGGGATTTGGGATAGTGGAATGAGAGGTATTGTAGCTATACAAAATTTTATGGGAAAACAAACCCAAGAAAACAAAAAAATCTCCCACTCGGTTTACATTTTCCCAGTCCCAGAGTACTATCTTATAACACAAGGGGAAATCAGGTCTCCCAAGACTGCACCTCCAGACTACCCTCTGCTACTTTCTTAAGTTACCTTGGTGACCTCAAGGTGGACCATGACTTCTGAGGAAGAGAAATTCTGGGGTTGGCAATGTAACCGCATTGTCATCTACATCAAATATGGCTTTCAATAAGGTAGACTTATGAAAGCAGTATTAATAAGTACTTACACATAGAAAGAATATATCCAGGAAGACACAACCAGTAATAGTGGCTGTCTCTGAAGAGGTAGATTGGGAGACAAGAGTGACAAGGAGATACACTTTTCACTGAACACCTTTTTAAACTATTGCAACTTTTTTTTTTTTTTTTACCATAAGCACATTATACCTACTCAGAAATAAATAAGTTTCCAAATTTGAAAAACTTAAAATACAGTATTGATCCTCAAAGAGCCATTTAGCTGGACTAACACACATAGACATTAGAAAAATATTAAGACAGCACATAGTTAAATACCAATTTGGACACACAAGTCAGTACTGATTACAAGTAGAAGAGGAAGGTCTGTTCATTTGAAGGAGCTGGGTCTTAGATGAGGAAGGAAATTTTTAGCCTAGGGAAAGTTGAGCAAATAAATTTGAGAAGTAGAAATGTGCACAAATAGAGAACAGCAGACTCCGGAGTCAGATAGACCTACTTGAATCTCAATTCTATAACATGTTAGCTGAGTGACCTTGAATTAGTTTTATAACTTCTTTCAACCTCAGATCTCTCATTTGTAAAATGAGTATGAGTACCTACCTTAATAGGATTAAGAAAAACTAAAGACTGTATGTAAAGTGGTTAGCATAGTACCTGACAGAGTAGATACTCAACTAAAAGTTGCCTAGCATGAACATGGTTGAACAGGGAGACCAGTCTTACTAGAGTACAGGGTACCTGTTCAGAGGGGACAAGATAATACTGGCTATTAAAGTTATAACAAAGTGGACGATCACCTTGTTTTGTCTCTGGGGTTCCTGTAGCATAAGAATTATAAACAAATATCACCATTATGCATTCTCTAACGTTCAAGAAGGTGAGATATCTGACAATTACAAGGTTTCTCTCTAGCATGGCGCCGCTGGTGCTTAATCAAAACAGAATTCTGACTGAAGGCCTTCCCACAGTCATTACATTTATACGGCCTTTCCCCAGTATGGATTCTCTGATGTCGGATAAGGTGTGCCTTACAGATGAAGCTTTTCCCACAGTCAGTACATTCATGAGGCTTCTCCCCCGTGTGGACCCTCTGGTGCTGAGCAAGATCGGAGTTCCACATAAAGCCTTTCCCACAGTCCTTGCATTCATAAGGCTTCTCCCCAGTGTGGATTCTCTGATGTCGAAGTAGGGCTGGGTTCCGAGTAAAGCTTTTCCCACATTCCTTACATGTATATGGTTTTTCTCCAGTGTGGATTCGCTGGTGCTGTGTAAGGCTTGTGTTCTGACTAAAGCCCTTCCCACATTCCTTACATTCAAAGGGTTTCTCTCCAGTATGTATTCTCTGGTGCCGAATCAGGTTTGACTTCCAAACGAAGGCTTTAGCACATTCTTGACACACGTATGGTTTCACCCCCGTGTGAATTCTCTGATGTGCAATGCAATGTGATCTAAAACTGAAAGTCTTCCCACATTCCTTACATCCATAGACCTTCTCTCCATTATGAATTCTCTGATGTTGGTCAAAGTCTTCATTTTTATCAAAACACTTGCCGCATTCTTCACATATATAGAATACCTGCTCACTGAAAATTTTCTGATGTATACCAAGGGGGATATTAACACCAGCATTCTCTGAACTATCTTCGCCAGAGACCATCTCATCTTTGACAATCACTTCTATAATATCATTTGCGGTGTTCTCCAAACTTCTCCCATTGGAGTAGTCAGACCACCTCCCTAACCTGCTTTTTTCCTCCTCACAGGTTTTTCCAAACCAGAATTCCTGGGAGCCACACCACCGGGGTCCACTTGATAGCACCATGTGGTCCTTTGCCTCCTCAAAACTTCCCTCCTTCAGAATAAAATCTTCTTTCTCACTCTTCAACACACCCTCTGAAAGAACAAATCAGAGCTGCAAATGTCATCATCAGCCATGATAGAGCGAGTAAGGTCACCAAGTGGTACTAGTGTGTCCATTTCACTCCAAGTGTCACCCCTCGTGTCTCAGCGGCCCTGTCCTAGAGGGAAATGGCACAACAGGGCTAGCACACAGAAAGCAACCAAAAGGTATACCACAGAAAGGCAAAAACTAGACAGAGTCCCTGAGGGCTATGATTCCCAAGCACCAGGCCAAGCACAAGGGGAGCTCTCCCAAAACAGTTGAATTGAACCTCAGGGACACAAGTCAGAACTTCTTCTAGGTAGTCCTGGTTATAACATGAGAAGAACAGGCCAGGATTCAGGGCAAAGGACCTGTTCAGAAATAACGAATCCTTTGAGGCAAACCTGGGGGAACCTAAACTTGTCACACGCAGTGGAAAGCAACAAGGAGAATCTTCCTCATACTTGTCAATGCTAAAAGGAAACGTCTTCTCATTCAATCCAGTCACCAGGTCTGCCATGAAAAGTGCTTCCCCAAACTACTTCAGATACAGTTGGGCAAAGACTGCCTGCTCTTTGCTCCCACAGTGCTTTATTCACATCTCTGTCATAGCATCACACTTTGCTGTAATTATACATTTATGTATAATGTCCCATTAGACTGTGAGTCCTTGCAAGATAGGGGCCATATAGTCCTTGCTTTCTGATTCCTAAAAACTAACAGAATGAATAAAATGCAGCACTTACTTTTAAAATATTGGTTGGCCATAGCAGCCTGTAGGTCATCTGTTCAGTTACAGCCTAAGACCCAAGACCCATTTGAATTTAATTAATCAATGATGTTCAAATGAAAGCTGGAAGCTTGGGGTTTAACTTTCCTCTTCATTAAATGGTTGACTTGGGGATTTTTAGGAGAGTCGTTTATTTAGAACATAAATGCTAAAATGGAATCTTAATAGTTTACAACAGAAAGACAGAGGAAAACATGTGCCTGGGAAGAAAGTGTTCATTTCCCTCACTTACCAGTACAGATTAGGCTTGGACCCTCTCCTTGAAGTTTCAGGTTCAATGGCTCTTCCACCTGCTCAAAATGGGAGATCCCAGCAGGCTTTAGAAATGGATATCCTGCCAGGGTCAAGATATAAATAAAGCTGGCTCAGTCGGAGGAGTGGGGCCCGTTAGGAAAGGAGCAGAGATGGAAGCAGTAAGGGAGAATGAAGGTGGGTGGACAGATTGGTACATAGGCGACCTACATTTGAGGAGGATAACAATATAGAGGACAGAAAACAGATGTACAGGGAAGTTGCAATTCCATCAGTTCCCCAAAATGTGAAAATGTTTCATTCATTTTAAATATCAAGAAGAAACAGGGGAGACTAAGGTCTGTTCTTCACTTCATCTAGGAGGCAAAAGCCAGTTCATATGGAAAAGAGTCAGGACGGGATGGAATTGCACAGAGTTGTTCCTGAGGCTATGTTGGGGAACCACAGTCTCTCAGCTTCCTTCCTGTCTATCCACCTTAACTATTGCCTTCTCTTTCTACAGAGGGTCAATGGTGGGTCTATGGCATCCATTAGAAATGGACTCACAGCCTCACTCAGCCACTTCCAGAAGTCACTTCTTATTCTAATGACAGCTCACAGTCTCACTCAGACATTTCCAGAAGTCACTTCTTATTCTAATGAGAGACCTCTAATTGCAAAATCCACTCTGATAAACTCTTCTTCAGGCTTAGTTAAGTCTGGCCTCCTTGTAACTCCCATCCGAAGCCTCCTGAGAAATGTACCAATTCCCCACCCTCCAAAAGACAACCTTTTATACTGCTGAAGCCAAGGACTGTGTCCCCTGATATTCTCTTAAGACAAAATGGACTTTGAAAAGAAAGTTTGCTGCAGGTCAGGCCATCAGGATTTTACTTAAGGAATAATTTAGCTGTTGGCTTTCTGCCTAGAGCAAAGATGGGAAGTTCCCTTGGTTGGTGGGAGAATAAGCACTGAGATCCTGAGAGAATGCAGAGGACGCTGCAGTTGTCTCCCTATATCCATCTACCATGACCACCAACCCCACCCCCCACCACCCGACCATTATGGAGTAGCCATGCCCTTTGGAGGGGAGTGATTTCAACTCCAGTTCCTAATGCAGCCCTCACTAGTCTAAGCCAAGCAGGTTAAACTATCCCACTTGCTCCATGAGAGACAGTGTCAGAAGTTGGCAGTCCAAGCCAAGACAATCAGTGCACACAATTTCCCTGGCCATACTCATTGGTTTAGAGTTGGCATCAGACTTAAGACAGTACATTACAAAGGCCTGAGGAAGGCATCCCTTATTTTTCTCCCGAGGTATGAAGAAGCAGAGCCTTGGTTACAACTACTAATCATCTTACCACCATAGGAGGAGCCAGACTGTAGACAAAGCCAACATACAAGGAAATAGAAAAAAGCAAAGACTGAAACTTTGATCAAACTGTACCTGCAACTCTACCTCTGAACTTTCAACTTCCAGGAAACAGTAAATTCTTTTTTTGTTTCAGCTAGTTTGAACTGGGTTGTTACTTGTAATCGAGAATATCCTAATATGGAAAGACTGCCAGACACAGCAAGGAACTGTGAGAATGGGGAAGTTGGAGGCACAGCTCAAGTTCCACTGTGCCTACAGGAGAGTTCCTGTAGGAAGAAGATAGAATGGGGTCAGGGGGGCCACAGGGGACATAGTTGCCCCTAGGAAATTAGGAACAGGAAAGCCTTGTGTTGGGCAAAGGAATGCCAGAAATCCCTGAACTGGAACTATATGATTCAGGGTTATTGAGACTTGATTACTAATGATAAAGATGGCTGTGATACCCCAAAGGGCAGTCAGAATCTGGAGGACTATAAGCAGGCTGGGAATGCAGAAAGGCCACCTCAGTGTGTAAACAGAAAAGTCAGGGAGTACAGATAAGAACAGTAGAAATGGGGAAGAGACAAAAATAGGTGAATGAAGAAGAGCCAGAGTGAATAAACAGACTCAAGAAGATGGAAAATCATGGGAACACAGGAAAAAAAAAAAAAAAAGGAATCCCACTGATGTCTACAGCACTAGGTTAAGAGAACATATACCTATTACATTTTAAAGATTAAGACAAGGGAACTGGCCAGATGACCGGCATGTGTCCTCACTCACCTGAGGAGATGCCCCTCGGGCCCTCTCCATCCAGAGCTCCCTGAGGAGCCTTGCACCAGGGTGCTTCCCCTCGCTCCAGCTGGGAAATCAGAGCCGGTTTGGGAAATGGAAATGCTGCTTAAGGGAAAGGAAATGGGACAGGCAAGTGAGTGGGGTGACATAGAGCGATCCCAGAGCTCTTCCCAGGCTTTGTCTTTAGGGGTGGGGTGGAAAGAAGGGAATTAACTAGGGAGAGCAAGAAAAGGAAGTCCAGGTGAAGGAACAGGAGACCCAGGGGAGTGGGGCCAGGAGACTTACAAAGGTCAGGAATAGGAGTAAGAGGTGCTCAATGACAATTTCAGTGAGCGAATAGATGATTCCACTCATTGAGATTGAGCTTTCTTATTCTCTTCCTCCGTTGGAGCTCTCAAGTTTAGACAGCTGCATGAGGAGGCTCGGTATTGGGCTGGGTCTCCCATAGGGAGAAAGTGGGAAACTGAGAGCTTGGTGAGGCACCAAGAATCTGCTCTCTTCCTTCTCTACCCATGGCACAGGGGTCAGGAGTTAGGCAGCTCTCACCCTGAGGCAATAAAGTCTGTTTCAAGGCCTGGATTTATTTATACCTGGACTTCCCACTTCCCAGCAACCACTGAGGCTGGGTCATTTGAATCCAAGGGCCTGAGGTTCCCACTCAGATGAGGGTTATCAAAGACTCCTGAGCTTCTGAGGAAGAAGGAACCAGGAAACTCTGAAGGGCAGAAGCAGAGTCCAAAAGGAAAGACCCTTACCCAGGGCAGCCACAGCCCCATAATTCTCCAGCATCACGTCCCTGTACAGGACCCTCTGAGCAGGGGCCAGGCCGGTCCATTCGTTCTCAGAGAAGTAGATGGCCACATCCTCGAAGGTCACTGACTCCTGAAACAACATGTGTTTAAATGCCCTAGGACAATCCCAGACCCAGGCCTGGAGTAAGGGGCAGACCAGGCACTAAGAGGCACTGGAGGGCGTGCCAGTTGAGTTTCTGGATTCTGAATGTCTAAGAGAACCCTCAGCAGATTTGTACCCTGCACTTCCAGAGATATAGAGGATCAGCCATCAATTTCTCATGGCTCTTCATCTTAACTTCCCAACATCCTCTCACCTTTTTCATGAGTCTCTACAAATTTTCCCTCTTTATCCTTATGCCCAAAACAACTATCTGTGCTCCAGGAGCCATCCTTTCCCTGCAGTGGGCCCTCTGTCTGAGGTCACCAACCCTTGATAACAAGTTCAACTACCATCTATCGAGTCCAGGACAAGCACTTGACATATATTACTTGGTGTATGCCTCACAGCCTCTGAGGAGGGCATTAGATTCATTTTATAGAAGAAGAAATTGAGGTTCAGAGATTTACTGCTCCCAAAGTTACAGAACGGAGATAGAATCCAGGGCTGTCTGCCTCCTCTGGCTCTTCTTTACTGTGCCACGCCGCCTTCGGTCCTCACTCTTGCCACCCCTGCTGTCCCTGTGTGAGATTCTTTCCCTTCTCTCCCTCCTCCTCACTGTCACCAGCCACAGGGGAAGCTAAGGGCACCTCAGTACACTGGGGCTGCCCTGGAGGCCGGACTCCAAAGGGCAGATCCAAACTCTGACTTTACTCCCTGCACTCTGCCACTCCCCACCCTACTCTTTCTTCCCAGCTTCCCAGTCTTAATGTCTGCTTTTCCTGTACCTCTGGGAGCCCAAGCTTCTGCCCTTTCTCTTCCCTTTTTCCTTAAGAACACAAACAGTGCTAATGTAGAGCCATCAAGACTTCTACTTCCCAGCCACTAATCAGTCCTTGCCCTACAATGTCCCCACAGCGACTTACCCAGCACCCCAGGGCTCAAAGACTTTGGCTTGACTTGCACCTCAAAACGTCCAAATCCTCTGCACCGCAGACGATTCCATTCACTATGCAGAGACCCAGCTTACCTGCCAAGAATCATCTCTTGTACCACCACCCTCATCCCCTATCCTGTCACCATCCTGTCAGAAACCCAAACCCTTGCCTTGCCCCAGTCGGTGCCCTTGCACCTGCAGCTCCCCCTGCCTGGAGATCCAGTGCCTCCCTCCTGCGCCGGCAAACTCTGATTCATCTCAAGACCCACCTCAGACATAACCAGCTCTGTAAAAACCAGTGACCTGGAAATGCTGGACGTTCGTCGCGGCGCACAGCGCTCTGCGACCACCTCTGCGCCCGCGCTGGGCTCCTGCCTGTGCAGCCGCACGTGAGCTTCCCCTGCCGGCGCAGGTCTGGGGGGTGTCGAACTCCTTCCGCTCCCTGCCCGCTCCTCCGGCCCCTGCACTCGGGGCTGCACCCCGGCTCCCCGGCCGCCGCACGGCCCCCGCCGCCCCTCCTGCGGGCCTAGAGCCCGGGGCAGAGCCGAGCCAGCTCGGCGGCGCCGGCCCCGCACTCACCGGGCGCGCCCGGGCCGGCGCGGGCTGTCCCGGCTGCAGCTCGAGCGCAGGCCCGAAGGGGGCCCCGCTCGCCGGGGCCGCGGCCGCCATGGCCCGGGCCGCCCTCCCGGGAGGCGAGCGCGCGCCAGGCCCGCCGGGGGCCGCCCGGGGCCGCCCGGGTCGGGCAGGGGCGCTCCGGGCCGGGCCGGGCCGGGCCGGGTCTGACACAGGGGCCCCGCCGGCCCCACGCCGGCTCCCCTCGGCTCCCGCGGGAGAGGCGGAGGCGGCTGCACTCCCGCCCCTGCGGCTTCTCTAGGACGGCGGAGGGCGCCACGTCTCTGTGGTCCTCGTTTCTTGGCGGGAAAAGAAACCGGGAGCGAAGAGCGCGTCCCGCTCCCGCAGAGACACCCTCTGCCTCGGAGCGCCGCTGCGGGGATGCAGGCGAGCGGGCCGCTGGGGAGAGACTTCCCGGGGATCCTTCCCAGCCCTCCTCTTCCCACTGGCCACCCTTCTCTGCCGCACTGCACTTGTGGGACGGACGCCCGTCGTCCGGTCGGCCTAGCACAGACTTCTGACGTGCCTGTGCCGGGATCTCCACCCCCTCACTGGGGTCTACCTTCCCAGAGAGCAGCTAACGCCTTCATCATTGTGGTGCTGCTAATATCCACCCAACATCTAGCACCTCTTATTGGCCGTTTCTTCCAAGTGCCAAGGAATACTTGTTGAATAAAGGAATGAATAAAGGTTGAACCTTTTTTTTTTCCCCTTTTATTTATTTGACAGAGAGAAAACAAGCTCCCGCACAAGCAGGGAGAGCAAGAGGCAAAGGGAGAAGGAGAAGTAGGCTCCTCGCTGAGTGGAGAGCCCGAGGTGGGGCTCGATCCCAGGGCCCCAGGATCATGACCTGAACCCAAGGCAGACGCTTAACCGACTGAGCCAACCAGGCTCCCTGTGAACCAGTTTTTCAGTGGAAGAAAGTAAGGCCCAGAGAGAGGAAATGGCTTACCTAACATCACACAGCATGTTGAGAAGTTAAACCTTTAAGCAAAATTGTAGAGATAGAAGAAGACCACCAAAATAAGAACAAGCAAAGGCTATTCATTCAGAGCTTACTATAAGCAAAGGCGTTCAACCACCATCACTTGCATTTGGTATAGACTCTAAATCAGGTACAGAAGTATAAAGCTTTATAGTTAAAAAAGGAGGGGCAGGGAAAGAGACTTCAGGTATGCTCTGATTGGAGATTGTTGGCATGGGGGAGCTAACTAGAAGCAAAGCATCTTATGTGAGTGTTTGGGGGAGTATATTAATCAAATTCTGGCTATTTGGGGCTGATTGCTACAGGGTTTATTTTGGCTTCCTGGACTGGTTGCTACGGATAGTAGTTTGACTTCCTAGACTGGTTACTGCAGATAATGGGTTGGCTTTCTGGACCTTAGATTGGTTGCTGCAGACTGTGGATCAGAGTTCTATTTCTCTATATGGTCTGGCCATTTTCCATTTGTATATATAGTCTGTTGGGGTGAACAAAGTAGGAAGATGTCTGCTTCAATGAAATTCCAGCCCAGATTCCTTTTAGAAACCCAGGGACTGAGAGCTTACAGATATCATACCTGTGAAAAATCACAGAACAAAGGAGACCTCAGATGAGCTCCCTGATTTGTTTGCTTGTTTGTTTTTAAGAGGATACTGGAGAAGTTCATAAATGGACACTAGTGAATAGTCTGTGAGCATTGAGTAGGCAGCAGTGAGTCTCACCCTGGGAAAGATCATTAAGAAGGATGAGCACACAACAAATGCTCCCATGATTTTCTTAGTGACAAGATAGAGAAAACTGGACTCAGTGCAAAATAAATATGGGAGTTTGAGCTCATAACAAGGACCTCTCAGAAGCCTGATTATTAAGTCATGCTCCACCAGAAGGAAGGTCTCTTATGGTTCGGATCAGTGTTTTGGTTCAAAACTAAAGAGGAGAGAGATAGTCTATTTTCATCCATATATTTTTACTCTTTCCATTGTTCTTCCTGTTAAACACATAGCAGCAGACAAGGTCAAGGCCATATCCTAACTGACTTGACCAGTAAAGTACAATAAGCCACTTTTAGATTTATACAATGTATTACTTAAGTAAACAGCAAAAGGAAGAGTATCCAAATATGTCAGTCCCCAGATCCTTGTTCCAGGCACCAAAAACAAGGACATCAAAACAAAAGGGGGTTCAGTCGCTGTAACATCCTTGCTGAGGAGCTGATTTTAGACTATAGTTAAACAGTGTTACACTCTGCAGTTACACCCAGAAACCCTCCTACCTCTTCAGAATCTGAGAGGCAATGAGAAATGGTCTAATGACTGCCTCCCACAAGAGAGAGGGAAGGGAGTGGGAGATAAGCTTGAAGGTCTCTAAAGCTCCTCTCATTCTCTCATGTTATAGAAGGATCACAGGTTGATCTGCCATGAGTCAGAGTAGCTGTAGTTCAAGATTTTGACTGCATGGCTTATATATGTGTAAACCTATGAGGGCACCATAGTGGAGCCATTCCCCTATAACTAGACCTCCCAACTTTTTACACATAAAGATTCTCAGGAATATGAGCCACCACATAGGTCATCAAATACTCTAATTGGTTGTATTGACAGTCAAATACTGTCAATACAATGGGTCAAATACATTCCTTGTATCTTAGGCAACATCAGACAAAAGTGCCCATGATAGTGACATACAATAGTATAACCAGACCATAGTCAGGCTCCTCATCCAGAGCCAATCTAGCTAATTATGTCAGTAGTCCAAGTGAGGCAAGAGGTACTGGCAATGGCACATAACCCACATAAACTGGACAGCAAAAAATCCAGGGCAGTACAATTGTCCATTATCAATCATGCTAGAGAATTTAGAACAATCAGTGGGCTATGAAAAATGTACAAGAAGTCCAACAATAACAAGATGAGGCTAAAGGGAATAATTTCAATGTCCGGGAAGTTAATCTTATTCTGTTGTTTCTTGCTGAGACTGTTTCTTTCTGGAGTCAGTGACTGTTGGGAGGATTCCAAGAGTTTTAAAATTGAGATTATTTATTGGCCAGTTGTAAAATTGAGGGTGGTAATGGAAGCCTGGATTGTTGCTCAGATATCCTATAGACAAAAGCTAAGAGGCTAATGGTCCCTCCCTCTGCCCCTGATTTCCCAGGGTCTAATCCTTACCAAGGACTATCCGGATTGTTCCTCTCCTTCCACAGCTAGTGTCTCACCTTATATCCAGTCCTCTCCATGTCTAAACCACACCATATGCTTAGACTCATCCCTGGTTAGTTCAGGAGCTCCTCTTCTATAATTTAAAACATCTTAGAATATCTCCTACCCTCTGACATGTGAGCCATGCCAAGACCGCCTTAGTTTTCAACCTCATAATTCATGATCATTATACTCATTATTTATAGTTTCCCAAATCCAGCAAGCATAGCTGGGATGAGTTTCAGTCTCCTAGCCCTCAGCTCTTTTTTCCTACTTGCAAATTCTAGTAGTCCAGTTTTCCAGAGATAGGTATAGAAGGGAAAAAATAGAGTGATAAGGGTTAATTATATGGTTTGGGTTTCCTGCAGCCATTTAGGGCCTTCTCCCACTCCTGAACCTCATAATTAGACATTATAACTTAAATGAGAGGTACACTTTAAGGTAATTATCACATTTGGAGCCCAAGTGAATTATCTTAATTTGTACACCACTAAGAGCTTAGGCTTGGTTGTCCAATTATCTTTTCCAGTTTTTAAGAGTTCACTCTCTCTCTTAATAGCACTTCTTTCTTGGGGAATGATACAGGTCACAAAAGGTCCAGCTAATGTCCCAGCTAACTGTCCACTGTTGGTACTTTCAGCTATAAAAATAGCACTATTATCTTATTGTGCGTGTTAGGGAAAGCTAAATATGTAACATAGGTCATCTAAGAATTCTTAAGTAGTATTGTTGACATATGCTGTGTGGAAGATGGTAGTGCCATATCCTGAAAAGGTGTCTATTGTAGTCCATGCCTAGCAGCATTCTCCATATAAAGGTAGGGAATCAATGCAGTCTATTTGCTAGGATTCACCAGGCCTAGTTCCCCTACTTATGCACTCCAGTTTCCTTTGCTACTTAACTGCGTCACATTTGTCATATACACTTCTTTCTGTATTGATGTTCCAAGAATCCTACTTTTACTATTTCTTTTTTGTTCGTAGAACTTCCTTCAGCCATCATTTTAGGGTAGGTGTGCTAATGACAATTGCCCTTAATTTTCCTTCATTTAATAACATATTGATTTTACTTTCATTTCTAAAGGATATTTTTATTGGCATAGGATTCTTGAATTGGTAGTTCCTTTTTTTCCCATCACTTGATAAACTTTGTGCCACTTGCAAATGACTTTCACGGTTTTTTTTTTTTTGTATATTTTTTTATTGGAGTTCGATTTGCCAACATATAGTATAACACCCAATACTCAAACCATCAAGTGCCCCCCTCAGTGCCCGTCACCCAGTCACCCCGCCCACATCCCCTTCCACTACCCCTTGTTTCCCAGAGTTAGGAGTCTCTCATGTTTTGTCACCCTCACTGATATTTTCACTCCTTTCCCCTTTATTCCCTTTCACTATTTTTTATATTCCCCAAATGAATGAGACCATATGTTTGTCCTTCTCCGATTGACTTATTTCACTCAGCATACCTTGGTTTCTGATAAGAAATCCATGATCATTTCAGTTGTTTCTCTACAGGTGATACGCTGTTTCTCTCTAGTTGCTTTCAAAACATTTTCCTTGTCTTTAGATATTTGAAGTTTGTTTACACTGTGTCTGGACTTGAATTTCTTTGGGTTTATCCTGTTAGGGGTTTGTACAGCTAATTTTAAGAAAATCCAATTTACCTATTTTTCTTTTGTTGCTTGTGATTTTGATGTCATATTCACAAAATTGTTGCCAAATCCAGTGTCATAAAGATTTTCTTGAATGTTTT